TCCCCCCCCCCCCCCCCCCCCCCAATAGCATACTTTTGTGAAAGTTAAGCTAGCTTTCAAAATGAAGGAAATTCCCCAAGAATTCATATCCTCTCACCAGTTTTTGCGATTCAGTGACAGGTCAAACAAAAACAAGCATGGCATTATGACATGATGATAACTGGGGATTTGAAAGCATGATGAACATTAGGACTGTTTTTTGAGATATTTGATGAGAGAAAAAAATTGCCAAGTAAGTCAAATACTATCAGGGCAATGTGCATAATGTCTCCACAAAAAGAACCCCACTAAAAATAACCCGGCTTATCCTCACTAATTTATCATCACTGCAAATATGTTCAATTTAGGAACAAAAATTGCCCAGTGAGTTTGAGGAGTTGGAGTGAGCCATTAAGTGAGCCTTTTTCAACTTCTTACATGAGGTACCTACAAAGCTCTAGAAATAAAGTATTGTCACATGGAGGAATACAAAGAGATACACTGGTGAAGTGGGTGTGAGGAATAGAGGTAATGAACTGTGGCTTGTGACCATCTCTGTTTCTCTGGATCTCACTTACCTCACACTCCATGGTCAATTTCAAACTCATGAAAACTAAAGGAAGTAACCCAAGTCTTCATCACATACACATGCCACTCATACCTCATGACACCTCATTTCACAAGCATTGAAATACTGCCTTAAGTTTTCAGGTAACAAATTGCCAAAGAATAAAAATGATATAGTAACAGGAATAGCAGGCACATAGACATGAAAGACTATAAACTTTTTCCTAGGTGAAAAATTTTTCATTGCCAGTCCAATCTGCAGGGTACAGTCCAAAATACCTCAACTACCCTATTCCTTCCAAAAATCAGGATTGCATTGACCATGACTCACTTTAATGGAAGGATCCCAGGCGTTGGATCAGAGCCAAGTTTTGAATGGTACTGAAGAGGTGGTAGGGAGCTAGATGACTGAGATGGCAAAGAATCAAGAGAAGATGCCAATCCAGGCTGACAACTTGTATAGGAGGCAGACGAAGAGGATCCATGGTGGTACATAGATGTAGCTGTACCGTGCTGATATGGCAATGATCGAACTGAATGGGACTGATCAAAGTTAGCATCGGGCCAAGCAGATAACTGCTGGAGAGGATCTGGTTTTCTCTGCTGATTAATCTTGAAATGATGGCTCTCTAACATGTCACCTGGGTCAAATTCATTGTCTGAGCCAGAAGAAAGGCGGATCTGATCACTGGTTCCTTCTAGATCAGTCAGTTCTGAAAGTGTAAGAATTCCATTTTCCTGAATGGCTCCTGTTGGTCGAGAGGAAGCCTTGGAAATGCGACGACGACCTCTCCCACGACCCACAATGGTCAACTCTTCCACTGTCTTAGATAAAGTGCTAATAGCACTGTTCTTTGTCACAGGTGATCGTGGACCAACTTCATGGCTCTTCTTTCTGCCAGGGGAGGGCCCATTGATATCATTACCCTTCCTGGGTGCATGAAACTGTAAATCATTACCCGCATCATTTTTCTTTTGTGCTAGGACCTTGAAGTCTGAAGAAACATTCTGTGACTCCTCTCTGAATTTGATTGCTGCAGAATGACTACCTCCAGATTTCCCAAAATTTCTTTGCTGAGGTGGTGGCCAGGATTTTTTGGGACTGCTTGGTTCTGGTTCCCATAATTTCTTCCCTTTACTACCTTGTTGGTCCTGGGAATGAGTGTTGAGACGATTTTCCCTAGGAATATCAGAATTTCTGGCATTTTTCCCTTCTTCAAAACTTGGTCTTCGATTTCTCCTCTGGGCTGCATGTTCAGCACCTTGTCTCCATGTCTTCTGTTCTTGAGATGCAGGCATAGTGTCACCTGCTTTGTCTCGATTCCTCCCAGGTGACTGAAGGCCCTGTCCCTGTGGACTCCTATTTGGATGACCTGACTGATTACCTCCTCTGGATGTTCGTTTTGCGACAAATGTCTGTGTAAGGATGGGCTCCTGCTGCATAGATCTTTCATGCTGTGGGGCTTCAGTGCTCATTTGTCTCTCATGTCCCTCTACAACATTCATGAATGCCTTCTGAAATCCATCTTCAGGAGTACCACTCTTCCTAGCAGGTGGCGGTCTGTAGATCTGAACCTCTCGCTTTTTGTGCTTATCTTCAGGGCTGGGAATAGGGGCCTCCCTGGGTCCTTGCTTTCGAGTGGCAGCTGGTGGGACATATATAGGCTTCTCTGGCCGTTTTGGCTTTCCACTGTCTTTCATCATTTTGCTATTAGCTTAGTTTAGGCCAGAGGCCTACCTCATTTCACATTCTCAAAAGGCAGCTTGAAATAGGAAATCTGAAATGCAATACTAGAAAGCAGACAATATTGATACACATTAGTCAGTAACACTAAAATTAGGCCTAACATGGAAACATGGTGAAACAAAAGTTTAAATCTATAGCCATTGGTTCAACATAGGTTTACCTAACAGCCCCTTGTAAGTAGATAGTGTCTCCAGGTCAAGTCAGCTAAAGAATCACTTTACACCCAAAGAATACTTAAATCCTGCATTTACACACTACCAATATTAAGGTGTGAGAAAGAGTTATTTATGTATGCTCTGTTGCAAACCTGCTCTGAAGTGAGATTCCATGACAGTGTCAAGAATGTTGGTTGCACCTATAATGATGAAACTAAGAGGTTCAGTCTATCTGCTCTTCAAATATCTTCATGGGCCTAAGTATGTCACATCCATTAAGTTTTTGCATGCAATTTCTGGCAACTCTCTTGGCATTCCAAAGGGGGGTTGCCATACTCAAGTCTACAGAAAACCATGTCAGTTGAGAAAAAATATTATTTGTTGATGTTGCTTTCTATGACTTGTATTATAAAAGGCAAAAAAAATTACTTCATAGCAGTCCATCTCATTGGAGGATTTTCTCTTTGCCACAGGAACACTGATGGCTCTATTCCATCATTCAAGCAGTTCTCCAAATATATATCTGAGGGGAAATTTTAATGTGGCTTCAAGGAGGAAAGAATTACACATATTACTCTTAGCATGAACAGGCATTCACCCTCTGGTCTACCAGCTGTGAAAGAAACAAGCCTCTGGAATTCCTCTTAACTCAGCCTTCAGTGAAGCCAAATCCTGCAATATTCAAGAGATTTAATATAGTGTATATTTCAACAGAGAAGTGGGGCTTCTCTGGTTAAGGCCAATGCAAAGTGTTTTCCTAGTTTAGTAGTGCACACAGAATATTAGAAGAGCAGGGGTTAGCATTAATGCTGTTGAATGACAAGCAAGAACAGGATAGGAACAAGGCTATCATGTGGGGAAGGAGAAAGGTTGGATGATAGGGACTATGGTGAGGAGGCCAAAGTCCCAAGCTCCTCCTCCCTCCCACCCAATATGTGTCACTACACTGGTTGATTGACAATCTTAGACCACTGGCCCCTTGGGAAGACTTCCAAGTGAACCACTGACAGAATGGCACAAGAGATATTGTTGAGCCAGGATTATTTTGTTCAAAGTCCAAAACTAAAGTTTGAGATACAAGAACTTCACCAGAATTTGCCACAGTGAAACAAGGCATAATATGTTAGTAGGGTCCATGGGCATCCGCTCCCAGGGGCAAGGGGGGGCACTTGCCCCCCCCTGGAAATCGGGCATGGAAATTTACTGGTAGTACTAAAAAAGAAATTTAATGTACTTCATGTGGAAATCTCTTCTTCCGTAGCACCATTTAGACCAATCTTACCACGCAATATGAAACATCCTAACGAGTTAAAAATTCAACTCA